TCTCTAGCAGTTAACTGGCCGTATGACCCTTTAGTTGAATGTACTAATGCAGGGCTTCAGTCGGCTTTGCGTTCCCTAGTTGTTCGCACCAGTTTCTGGAACATAAAAAGTTTTCTCAGACAAGGTCAACCGTGGGGGCGTTATTTGTTCGACTGAATCGGCTAATTAGCTTAAGGACGGACCTCAAATTTCCACTTTTATTTATAGAGACCTATTTAAATACTTGCCGTTTTTACCATTATCAAGGTAATTCATGAATGAGACCGTTTAATGCCATTGCTTATTTGCTCTTCTGATCGGCTTCTCACCCACCAGTCCCCCTACGATGCAACTGAGCGTTCATATTCACATCAGTAACACGTCACCTACACGTCAAAATGCAAATATAATTGGTATTCCACATATTGACTAATTGACGCGAAGACACGTTAACGGCTACCCAGCAGCCCGCTCAATACCTCCACATTTCGATTTAAAGCCTGAGGAGTCGGATACGTTTTGCGGGGCTCGGTTAGAAACAGGGTGATGTATGGCACGGAAATTGAGCATCGCTGCCTAGTATTGAAAGAATGCTCCGTAGACTCTGGATGACTGGTAGAATTAGTCCATTTGTTTGAATGTCTACAAGTTTTGCACCACACTTCGATCACGGTCATCTAGAACCATCCCATACACAATTCGGTGCACGGTACTAAGATTTAGTTCAATTACCGTAACAAAATAGACTCGATGTTGAGGATTTTCAGTTCGTTTACGTTTACTAGCTATAAACCTTTTACCATGGGTTCATTGTTTCCAGCTGCTACAGTTCCGATCACCAGACAATGGTAGGGTGTAGGAGATACAGCCAGGCGTGGGAGGCAACCGTGTGATGAGTTAGTTCGGGAAACGAAAGCTACGCATTGAAGGCGTTAGACTTGATGCAGGATGCCCACTGATAGCTGGTTGAGTCACCCCTGTCAGTGTCATTATCCATGAATGAATTGAGTCCCGCCATCCCCATCCAGAGAGGCGGTCGTTGGCGACCCAAATGAGTCTACTGGTTAGTGTTTCCATACATCGTTGTCAGGCCAAACGCTACCCACCTCTCGGTTGTTTGCATTCAACTTAGGGCTGGACGAAAAGAGATCTGCGAGACAAACGGTACTCTGGCATGTGGAGAACATGCTCTGACCATTGAAGCGTAGTAATTTTAAGCAGCACATCAGTAACAAAGTTGAGGACGGGAGGCCAGAGATGGCAGTTTCGTTTCACGTCACTGGATATAGTGAATTCAGATGAGAGCTTGCAGTATATCAGTACGCGTCCACGGGACTTCGTATACAATGCCGTCACAAGGGACAAATTTAGAAGGCACATCCTTGATCACCAAACACCTCAATTTTCTGACGATCGACGGACTCATAAGCAGCTTTCACACCCAGAAAAACGAATAACACGGAACGTTTCAAAGAGCGGCGTTGTTCAAGAACTTGTTCCAAGGTAAGTGGTCGATGCATATTCGCGGAGTGAAATGGATCAGTGGTTAGACCGCAAATTCGCTGACCAGAAGGTCCTGTTTCGAACCCGAACTCTGCATCTCGACTTTTGTCTAGACTTAGGCAACCTGGCAGTATCCAAGCCCTTGTGCTTTCTTCGGGTGACATGGCAGTTGGGCACCGAAAGGATGTTACAGCTGAACGATTATTACAGTATTATTACGGTGCACTGACCATGGCGAAACCTAGCTTGATTCTTACGAGTCTCTCTCGCGATAATCGGCCAACCAATGCAAAGTACTGGAGATGCCACGATGCTTTCCCCGTGAGTTTTCTGTGCCTCTAATGAGGACGGGTCACGGTCGGCGCTCTCCTTTCCGGGCAAACTGTACTGTATTGGTAACCCGTTGCGTGAACAAATGGGTTGGGAAGCCTTTGAGTCAGCGATACCACAATCCATAGGAGCACGAAATTGATAGTGCAGCATCAGATCTTTCTGGAAGTAATAACATGTCAGCACGAAATAATATACAAACGTACGGATACGCACAGTCAGTGTTAATAGGTAGAGTACCGGAATAACAGGGCGAATAGCACTTAGTACGTTCAGGGGGCTGTTTCCGAATCTAGGTGGAAGGATACCATTTGAGTTCGGCCCAAAATTACACATAGCTGATGGCATATGCATAGCATATACATAGCATACATAGCATACACATAGCTGATGCTTCGCCCTACGTTTCCCGGGGCCGCGTCAGAAAGCCAAGAAATGGAAGAGGCCCAGAAAGCCGGTAATGCCCGGAGATTATTTCAGTTGATCCGTGCGACCGGTTCCCGGAAACCACCTTTGAGTGAAACTATCAAACACCAGAATGGAACGACCGTCTCGAACAAAGAAGAATGCCTCTACCGGTGGGCCGAATACTTCGAACAACAGCTGTCGTGGCCACCAGCCGACACTCATCTAGGGCACACAGGTGAAGTAGAACCCTGAACGGTGAACGTGGAACCACCTACGGCCTCGGAGGTTTACGACTGCATATGTTCTCTCAAGCGCCTCCGAGCTCCCGGTCCGGATGACCTTCCACCCGCACTGTTCAAAGACGGGGGTGAAGTCCTCAGTCAGCGCTTATCC